TTCCTTGGGGACTCCGCATACAACCGAGAACGCATTAGTTTGGTAACAGCCACCGGTCAGCGTATACCCGTCCGTGGAGAGAAAGAGATGGAGCTGAAGCTAGGCAACATGATCTACCTGCATAATGTCATCGTGGCTGATATAATGGACCACTGCATACTGGGCCTAGACTTTATGAGGAATAATTGTTGTGAGATCGACGTTAAGCAAGGTGTTTTGAAATGTGTCCACGTCCACACAAGGAGGAAGTTTTTATGGACGGTGCGTTACCAGGGAAACGTGTACAGCATTAAGAAGATTGTTCTTCCGCCGAGATCGAAAACGATTGTTCCGGTTAGTCTTCCCCGAAACGCTGGGCAAGCTCACCGTTGTGTACTTGTGGAAAGAGCAAACAATGACCTTCCATGGAAAGTAGCTCGAACCTTGGTCAGAACCACTGACATCTCAGGAGTACGTGTGCTGAACCTTTGTGACCGGGAACAGATTATAGAAAAAGGCACGCTGGTTGGTACTTCTGAGGAAGTGGATTGGTTACGTCGGTGCCAATATCTATCGAGTGAGACCCCCAGCAAGGATGCACAAACGAGAGTGACCACACTTTTGGAAGACTATCGCAGCGTTCTCTCCCCGACCGAAATGGTCAAGGCGAAAAAGTTGTTACTCAAGTATGCCGACGTATTCTTATCAAACGATGCTGACATAGGAAAGACTGGCTTAGTTCAACACAAAATAAACACAAGAGAAGAATTGCCTATCCGTCAGCGGCCAAGAAGATTGCCGGTAGCACGTGACAAGGAATTGGAAACCATGATTGAAGGAATGGTGAAGGATGGTGTTATTGAACCTTCCTCTAGTCCATGGTGTTCATCAGTGGTGCTGATAAAGAAGAAGGATGGCAGCATGCGGTTTTGTGTTGACTACCGCCGTCTGAACGAAGTTACGAAGAAGGACAGCTATCCCTTGCCAAGAATTGATGACACGCTGGACATGCTTACAGGAGTAATGTGGTTTAGCACGCTGGATCTAAAAAGTGGCTACTGGCAAGTTAAAATTGACCATAAGGACAAGGAGAAAACTGTGTTCTCGACGGAAAAGGGTCTGTGGCAATTTAAAGTAATGCCGTTCGAGTTGTGCAATGCTCCAGCAACGTTTGAAAGGCTGATGGAACTTGTACTTACCGGGTAAATTGGCGATGCCTGTCTGGTCTACTTGGATGACATCATCATCGTAGGCCGGACGTTTGAGGAACACCTTCAAAACCTGGAACGCGTGCTCATGAAGATTCAGAGTGCCAACCTCAAGTTGAGTCCGAAGAAATGTTCACTATTCAAACGGCAAGTTAACTTTTTGCGGTATTTAGTATCGGAAGAAGGTATCCGCACGGATCCAGAGAAAATCGCCGCTGTCAAGAATTGGCCGGTTCCAAAAGACAAGACGCAGGTTAGAGCATTTTTGGGTTTGTACTCCTATTACCGGCGATTTGTGAAGAACTTTGCAGATATAGCGAAACCTCTGCACAAGCTAACCGAGGAGAAGCGACATTTATGCTGGGATGAAAGTTGTAATATCGCATTCCAGGAGCTCAAGGACCGTCTGTGCAAAACACCTATTTTGGGATACCCTGATGCAAGCAAAGAATTTATAGTTGACACAGACGCAAGTGATATAGGACTTGGCGGTGTGTTGTCTCAACGGAATGTGATAGGTCGTGATAGCGTACTTCAGCAAGTCGTTGTCAAAACCGGAAGGAACTATTGTGTCACAAGACGCTAATTGCTAGCTGTGGTAAAGTCGTTGCAGCATTTTAGCAAATATCTTCTGGGACGAAAATTTCACTTACGAACTGACCATGCTGCACTAAAATGGCTATTGCAGTTTAAAAATCCAGAAGGACAAGTTGCGAGGTGGATTGAACTACTGCAGGAATACGACTTTGAGATCGAACATCGCAGCGGAAAATCTCACGGCAACGCAGATGCATTGTCAAGAAGACCTTGTCATGAAGATTGCAACCATTGTACTAGGTGAGAGAGTAAGGAAGTGGTATAGTATATATATGAGGATGCTCAGGACAGACCACCTCAGCAACGAGTGGAAGGACAGCTTACTACATGCACAGCAGGAAGATCCGGACATCAAGCCGATTCTGGAATAGATAAAGGCCAGTGCTCCCAAGCCCAAGTGAAGCGACGTCTCAGCGATGAGTTCGACCACTAAAAGCTGGGACAGCTTGCTGCTTCAGGATGGCGTTCTGTGCCGTAAATGGGAAAATGTTCGGGGAGACAGCAGTCATTTGAAAATGGTCGTCCCTAAAGCTAGACTACCGGATGTTCTACAGGTGTACCATAATGATTGTTCAGGAGGCCATCTGGGAGTTAAGCGAACTCTACTGAAGATCCAAGAATGGTCTTACTGGGTCCACTGACGAAACGATGTCGAGGACTGGTCGCAAATGTACAAGTTGTGCGGCTGTAAAAGGACCTCAGACTCGTAGTAGAGGTGCGTTGAAGTTGTACAATGTTGGTGCACCATGGGAGAGAATAGCCATTGACGTGGCGGGGCCGTTTCCGGAGAGTGAAAGCGGTAACAAGTATTTCATGGTTATGGTGGATTACTTCACTAAGGGGCCAGAAGTCTTCGCCATTCCAAATCAAGAAACTTCAACAGTTGCAGATAAACTAGTTCATGAAGTCTTCTGTCGTTTTGGAGTACCTTTAGAGATTCACAGCGATCAAGGAAGGAATTTTGAGTCTCAAATATTCCAGGAAACTTGCCGAGTTATGGGTACTCATAAAACAAGAACGACTTCTTATCACCCGCAATCTGATGGAATGGTAGAACGATTTAATCAGACATTGGAGAGGTACCTAGCAAAAGTTGTAGACAATCGGCAACGAGATTGGGACAAGCACATACAACCGTTTTTGTTGTCATATCGAAGTTCTGTTCACGAAAGTACAGCAGTGACACCAGCTTTCGCAAACTTTGTAAGAGAATTACGGCTGCCTGCATACCTGATCACCGGGATACCACCTGATGCCCCACGCAGTATAACCGATTATGCAAATGACTTGCGGAACAAAATGAATGACATTTATACCGGATACAGAAAGGCGCAATAGGGACTCCTAAGATCGTCCATGTGCATCGCTTGGCGCGTTATTATGGGGCCGATAATGCTCGGGACGAGCATGTCTTAGGAGGGGGCAGTGTTGCGCGCAAGTCGACGTCATGTACCCGGCATTAGCGCCATCTAGTGTCAGGGACGAGAGCGAGGGGAGCTTTACAGAAAATCACTAATCTTTCAACCGAGAGCGCCATCTAGTATCGAAACGAAGAACTAAGCTTCTGGAATCTGACACTCGAACTTTCGGCGCCTTGTCGATTGGTGCGCGTATTTACTTGAATATTCTGGATGTTTCGGTGCTAATGTGTATTTATAGGCGCTTCAAGATGCGATCGGGGAAGTATTGAATTCGGCGAGACAAGCAAAGCTTCGGAGCGAAATAAAGTGAATCAGTGTGATTAATTATTAGTGTTTTAAGTTTTATTTGGTGTAAAGAAAATTAAAGTGTTAATTTTGGTAATTCAATCGGCAGTTTTTATTGTCACGAACCTCAAGCTCGTAACAATATTTTACGTCGAGAAATACAGCAGTCTGTGACGGAGGCTGTTGAATCAGCCATCAGGATGTATTTTTCTAAGGAGTTCGATGAAATTAAAAGCAAATTGGATACCTTACAAGAAATCGGTAAAAGTGTGGAATTACTTAGCTCTCAATATGACCGGATGAATTCTAACATAAAAAATTTACAGGATCGACTTACTGTGGTTACTAAAGAGAATTTAACGCTATCCAGTCAAACATTAGATATCTCAGATAGACTTAACCTTATGGAACAACACTCTCGCAAAACGAACATTGAGATCAACGGCGTTCCGGAAAGTAAGTCCGAAAATTTGCTGTCCTTAGCGAAACAACTTTGTTCTACATTTCCGTCCCTTTGATGGACGCTAGAGTTAAAAAACGAATGATAACAATGATCGTCCCCGTTCCATCATAATTAAATTGCAGTCCACAATAAAACGTGACGCAATATTGGGTGCGGTTTCGAGTTTCAATAGGAAAAACACGACAGATAAACTTAAATCTTCTCATTTGGGATATGGCGGGAATAAATCACCCGTATATGTTTCCGAACATTTATCACCGTAGAACAAAAAACTACATGCTAGCACCAGAAATATTATACGTGAAAAAGGTTATAAATATGTTTGGATCCGTTATAGTCGTATTTTTGTGCGAAAAGATCACACCCCTGCGAAACAAATAAAAAGCCATGACTCTCTGAAAAACTTGTAGTTACATAATTTGATATGCCATATTACTAAGGCCGTAACTGTTAAAATAAAATTCAATGTATATTATCAAAATTTCGGAGGTCTGAAAACTAAGACGGACAACATTAAACTCTCTTCACTGGTTACCCATTATGATATAATAGTGGGAACTGAAACATGGCTTGACGACACAGTATCGGACGGTGAACTATTCGGCGCAAACTTCAATGTTTATTGACGTGACCGTAATTCCACCCATCTCGCTGGCAAGGGAAGCGGGGGTGTCCTGGTAGCAGTATCGAAGAAACTGTACTCTAAAAGAGTTAACCACTTTGAGAGCTGTTATGAAGACTTGTAGGTTTCGGTGAGAGTTTTGTGAAATATACTTGCCCCCTCCGGTAACTAATAGGTTAATAGGTGGATTTCTTGACAACTGCAATATTGTAATGCAATCACGTAGTAACGACACACTAATATTGGGCGATTTTAATTTGAATTTTAAAGATTGGATTACCGGTGTTACCAATTCCGTAAACAAATTAACCCATCGCAATTATTTCTGTAATTTGGGATTTCAGTTTATTGACTTCTTGTCTTGAAACAATTTAATGCTTTGAGAAACGCTAATAACAGAACCCTTGACCTTGTTTTAAGTAATCTTAAGGATATAAATGTTGCCGAATGTCCATGTCCAATAAGTAAAACTGATGGTCATCATCCTGCTTTAGAGATAAATGTAAATATGTCAGTACCGCATTTGCTGAATAGTAAATCTTTTGCTACTCAGAATTTTAAAAAAGCTGATTATACTAAAGTAAATTCTAGGTTAAGTAAATTTGATTGGGGTTTTGAATATAGTGATTGTCAAGAGGTTAACGTTAACAACCTACCTAAATCTACTAACCATCGGATAATATTGTTTGCAGATGACTGTACGGTTATTTATAATAATAAAAACATAATTAATAGTAGCTTAAACTCAATAATGCAGTTATTATAAGATAATTATTTAACTATAAATATAGATAAAACTACAATAATACAATTTAAACAAAAAAACTAATCATAATTTTTAATACAAAATTTAACTATGATAATGAAGTTCAAATAACAATAATAAGTTTCTTGGCGTTCACCTTGATGAAAACCTGAAATGGCAAAGCCATATTGAATTTGTATGCAAAAAAGTGTCACAGTCATTTTACTACTACTAAATTGTTCTGTGGCTATCTGCCACAGAGGTGCTATTATATCCAAGGTTCAGCTCAAGCGGCAGTGACACGTTGACGACTCTTGTTGGCCGGTGGGGTGTTTTCCCTTTCACTTTTGCATAGCCATTTTTCATTGGGCGCGCGAAATGACGCCATTATGTCTAGCCTTCGTGCATGAAGGAAGCGGAAGTGAAGAGGATCAACCAGTAATCATCGTTGAAAAATTGCGTTTCGAATAAAAGTTTTTTTGGTTCGTTGTGTACGTATGTACAAAAGTCGCAGTGCTAAGTTCTGCAATTTTTAAACAGTAATATTTTTTTAATTCTTATATAATTGGTTCTATAGTTTGGTTTAAATAATTAATAAATAATTCTTATCTAAATTGACACTAAATGCAACTAATATCTCAGAAAGAAACATTCAACTTTACACTTTCCTAACAAATTAACTTCCCCGCTCTGAAATCCTTCAAAAATTACACCTCATTTCAATGTGGCATCGCTCTGGAGGCTGAAAAAGTCTTGTATGCCATTAGCAATTAATTGAGTTACGTTAATAACAACCATTAGCCGTGTTAAAAGATAGAACTGTAACAAATCACTTATTTGAAATTAAGATTAAGCCACGCTACTAAATTAGCAACATAATGATCTCTGTTTTTAATGCTATTAGTTAGCACTCTAAGTGTATAATACAAGTTACAAATCATATACAATTTTCCGCTTTACGCCGTTAGTAATGGTGACTTTTATACATACCAAGAAATAAAATTGAAGTGTCCGTCTGTAATACCGATTTGTTATTTCTAACTGGGTTATAATAAATTCAGGGCGTTATTTACATAATAAATGAATAAAAAATGAAGAGCCGTGGTAGCTCAGATAGTTAACGCTCGCTGTAAATATAACAGAACGCGAGTAACCCGGGTTCGAGCCCCGCCGGCACCAATGAAATTGTTAATTGCAATTTTAAGTGCTGATTTACCACGTGCTCGGCGGTGAAGGAAAACATCCTGAGGAAACCTGCATGTCTGAGGAATAAGAGAAAAATATTTTCGAAGACATGTGAATTTCACCAACACGCATTGGGGCAGCGCGGCGGACATTTCCTTGCCCTAAAACCCCCTCAGAAATGAGGGGAGGCCTGTGCCCAGCAGTGGGACGTATATAGGCTGTAACTTTACTTTTTTTTACTTTTACATAATAACACTTTTTTTAATTTTTGGCTGCCTGTGTCTAGGTTAATTTTCTGGCTGAAATGAAATTGAAATTTCTCGAACCGATAGAGAACAATGCCACGAGTGACCTTGGCTATAATTTATCCGAAAACTTAGATATTTTTGTGAAAACGAAAACCAAAAATCGATAAAATAAATAACCCATAATTATCTTAAATTTAAACAAGGCCTTATTAACAGACTTAACCCAGGCGAAGCCAGGTCGCTAGTTAAAACATTATTTCTTACCCTTTTGAATAGTCCATTCAAAAGTATACAATATCGTAATTGTAACTTCGTCTATATAGTTACATTGAAAACCTCATCCCCTACTTTGCTTTTATGAATATCAGTGTCAAATAGTAGCTTAATGCTGCTGTGTTTCATATGGTGAATGTAGAGAACCGGAGACCCTTTTTACTGGAAACGAGGCATTCCATCTTAGTCCTCACTGGTGACAACGCATCTGCATTTTGATTCGTAATCGAGGATGGATGTAGAGGTCTATGGGCCACAACAACCACTTACCACTAGGTGGACTGTGTGCTCGTTTGTCACCCTATCATATTAAAAAAAAATTTTGGAAGTCTTCCTTCAAATTAAATGGGAGCACCCATGAGGTTCTATTTAATTAATAAATATTCATCCAAAAATATTAACAATTGGGGAAGAGATCGCGTAATTTCATCACGAATAGTCGTTAGTATGAAGAGTCGTTAGTTATTATTGTGTGAGTGACAAAGGGTCCTTTGTCAGCTTAGTCGCGCACTTTAGTAAATAAATTACTCATGAGCCGCGCGTATTTGGCGTCGCGCGTACATTGACCACTATCATCTGATGTTAGGTATTTGCAGTTTCACTGCTGGTTTTATGTTTAAGTATTTTCATAATTTTTTTATGAAATTACCGTTTCATTTATCTGTACTTACATGATAGAGCGTGAATAAAGCAAAACAAACGTTTTAAAAAATGTTTTTTTCATCGGGATCGATTTTTTTAGTCCCATCATCAAAGGTATCCTTACTACTATCGTCTGCCTTCGTTTTCGAGAGCCTTCGTTTCTCAAACACCCGTTGTTATAGCTAATATGGCTGGGCCTTTAAATCTCCAATACACTTATGTATTAGCATCGATTTCAGAAGCTATTTTTGAAAACCACTCTAACTTCCCACCCACCCACCGACAAACTGTTACGCAGTTTGGTGGGTGTGAACAATGTATAAAAGTTTTGGTCCACAATAAATGATTTATTATTATTATTATTATTATGTGTGGGGTATCTATATAGTTTTCTCATCTGGTTGGGATGTATAAATATATAATTATAAACGAAAATGAAAAGATAAACATACAAAAATATCAATAAAATAAAATAAATATGAAAATACATAAATAAATAAAAGCCCAACCAGATGGAAGCCCTCGGCAGGGGAGACCAAACGGCCGAGGGTTAGGGGGAAAGGGAAAGAAACCGGCGGACGATGCGGGCGGTATCGAGGAGCACCGCCTTCTGCATTTGAGCCTGGAGCGGTCCGCCACGTAGTCCCAGCCGCCTCAGATGACCCGAGAGGCTGACTGGGATTAGCCCGTTTGCAGAGACGACTACAGGAATAATTTCGGTCGGCAGACCACCCCACATGTCGGTCACCTCGTGAGCCAGGTCCAGATATTTTGTTTGCTTATCTGTTTCGGCTTTCACGAGGTTCTCGTCACACGGAATGGTAATGTCGACCAAAAATATCCTTGACTGTGCCCGGTCCATCAGCACAATATCAGGCTTATTCGCAAGAATAGTCCTGTCTGTGATGATGGCCCGGTCCCAATAGAGCCTGGCGCGATCATTTTCGAGCACGGCTTCCGGCAAGTACTTGTAATACGGCAACTTCCGATCCACGAAACCGTATTTCAGAGCGAGCTCCTGGTGTAGAATTCTGGCTACTAGGTTGTGCCTGTGCAAGTACTCAGAGTTAGAAAGCGCCGAACAACCGGAGATGACATGCCTAAGTGACTCACCGGGATGGCGACAAGCTCGACAGATGTCGATGGTGCCATCCTTTAGGATGTATCTCCGATAGTTGTTGGTCTTAATAACCTGATCCTGTATTGCACAGACAAAACCCTCGGTTTCCCCCGAAGAGGTCACCAAAGCGTAGCCAGTGGAGAGGAGGTTACTGTGTCTACGAAAGGCCCATGTAGAGACTTGTAGAACCTCCCGTGGAGCTCCTTCTCCTTCCATACGGTCTCCCGGTCGGAAATTGTCTGCACTGCCGGGTCTTGCCATTGCTCGTTGGCTAAGGATAGAGGGGTAAGTCCTTTATCACAAGAAATGACGTCCTTATAGAATGGATCATCCGATCTCGCCAGGAAGTAATTACGGAGGCTGCACACTTCGCGATTATGCATGGTGAGCGCGCTCAAGAAGCCACGGCCACCATGCTTTCGCGGCAAGTACAGCCTCATTACCGACGATCTCGGATGATGCATCCTGTGGGACGTCATGGTAGTGCGGACTTTTCTATCCAGGGCGTTAAGTTCAGTCTGAGTCCACCTGAGTATGCCAAAGGTATACATGAGGACAGGCATGACCCAGCCGTTATATGCTTGTGTCTTATTCACACCGGACAAAAGGCTGTTAAGCACTTTGGTCAAGCGTGCATAAAACACGTCGCAAACTGACTGTTTCATACCAGCCTCATCGTTACCAATGTTCTGTGACATACCCAGGTATCGGTATGTTTCAGCCTCGGAAAGGGTCCTTAAGTTGATATATTAATATTATTATAATATATTAATATAATTATTATTATTATTATTATTATTATTTTGGGGTATCTATATAGTTTTCTCATCTGGTTGGGTGCTATAAATATATAATTATAAATGAAAATGAAAAGACAAATATACATAAATATCAATAACATAAAATAAATATAAAAGTACATAAATAAATAAAAGCCCAACCAGATGGAGGCCCTCGGCAGGGGAGACCAAACGGCCGAGGGTTAGGGGGAAAGGGAAAGAAACCGGCGGACGATGCGGGCGGTATCGAGGAGCACCGCCTTCTGCATTTGAACCTGGAGCGGTCCGCCACGTAGTCCCAGCCGCCTCAGATGACCCGAGAGGCTGACTGGGATTAGCCCGTTTGCAGAGACGACTACAGGAATAATTTCGGTCGGCAGACCACCCCACATGTCGGTCACCTCGTGAGCCAGGTCCAGATATTTTGTTTGCTTGTCTGTTTCGGCTTTCACGAGGTTCTCGTCATACGGAATGGTAATGTCGACCAAAAATATCCTTGACTGTGCCCGGTCCATCAGCACAATATCAGGCTTATTCGCAAGAATAGTCCTGTCTGTGATGATGGCACGGTCCCAATAGAGCCTGGCGCGATCATTTTCGAGCACGGCTTCCGGCAAGTACTTGTAATACGGCAATTTCCGATCCACGAGACCGTATTTCAGAGCGAGCTCCTGGTGTAGAATTCTGGCTACTAGGTTGTGCCTGTGCAAGTACTCAGAGTTAGAAAGCGCCGAACAACCGGAGATAACATGCCTAAGTGACTCACCGGGATGGCGACAAGCTCGACAGATGTCGACGGTGCCATCCTTTAGGATGTATCTCCGATAGTTGTTGGTCTTAATAACCTGATCCTGTATTGCACAGACAAAACCCTCGGTTTCCCCCGAAGAGATCACCAAAGCGTAGCCAGTGGAGGGAGGCTACTGTGTCTACGAAAGGCTCATGTAGAGCCTTGTAGAACCTCCCGTGGAGCTCCTTCTCCTTCCATACGGTCTCCCGGTCGGAAATGCTCTGCACTGCCGGGTCTTGCCATTGCTCGTTGGCTAAGGATAGAGGGGTAAGTCCTTTATCACAAGAAATGACGTCCTTATAGAATGGATCATCCGATCTCGCCAGGAAGTAATCACGGAGGCTGCACACTTCGCGATTATGCATGGTGAGCGCGCTCAAGAAGCCACGACCACCATGCTTCCGCGGCAAGTACAGCCTCATTACCGACGATCTCGGATGATGCATCCTATGGGACGTCATTGTAGTGCGGACTTTTCTATCCAGGGCGTTAAGTTCAGTCTGAGTCCACCTGAGTATGCCAAAGGTATACATGAGGACAGGCATGACCCAGCCGTTATATGCGTGTGCCTTATTCACACCGGACAAAAGGCTGTTAAGCACTTTGGTCAAGCGTGCATAAAACACGTCGCAAACTGACTGTTTCATACCAGTCTCATCGATACCGATGTTTTGTGACATACCCAGGTATCGGTATGTTTCAGCCTCGGAAAGGGTCCTTAAGTTGACGGGCATAGATAAGTCTACGCCCTCAGAGTTAGCAACCCGTCCCCTTTCAACATGGAGGACCGCACACTTATCCGTTCCCAGCTCCATTCCAATAGAATTGCTAAATTCACAAGTGATGTTTAGCAATTCCATAAGATGGGAGCGACTGGAGGCGAATAACTTGAGGTCATCCATATAGAAAAGGTGGGTCACTTTTGTCCCTCCTTTCCGTAGCTGAAATCCCCTCCCGGAGCCCTCCAGTAAGGTACTGAGAGGGTTCAGAGAGAGGCAGAACCAGATTGGACTCAGACAATCGCCCTGGAAGATACCCCTTCTTATCCTTATGTGGTTCTCCGCAGCCATCATCCGCTCGCCCAGATGACAAAGGATCGTACTCCACTGCCCCATACACTGCTCGAGGAAGTCTCTAACTGTACAGTCTATCTTGTACAGCTCGAGGACTCTCTTTAGCCATGTATGGGGCACCGAGTCGAATGCCTTTCTGTAGTCTATCCAGGCGGCGGAGAAGTTCCGACGGTTGCGTTTCACCACTTTGCCAATGACCGCGTCAATGAGGAGTGGTTCCTTGGTTCCACGACCACCGCCCCGACATCCATTTTGAGCGCGCGACATCACCTGATTTGAGTCCAGGTGACAAGTGATTCTCGCGCTCAAAATGGATGTTAGTGTCTTGTATATGGTCGGTAGACACGTGATGGGGCGGTATTTGCTCGGGTCTGTGGTACCCTGGTCTTTAGGAACTAAATGAGTGATCCCAGTAGTGAAGAGGCTTGGGAGCGACTTCTGGTTGAGAGCCTCTTGAAACTGTCGGGCGAGCACAGAGTGACACACCATGAACCCCTTCAGCCAGTAGTGATGCAGCCCGTCAAGCCCCGGACTTTTCCAGTTCGGGGCCCTACGAACCGCCTCAGCTACGTCATCCGGCGTTATGATGACGGGGTCCATGGGCGTAATACCCGCACACTGACTCGCCACAACTTCCGTCCAAGGGCCCTCGCTGTGGTTTACGGGCTCTGACCACAGGCCGCGCCAGAATGCTACAGTGTCGGCCTGATCCGGTGCTGGACCCGTTCCACTTACCATTGGTCGCTCCAATGATTCATAGAGCCTCTTCTGATCACTCTGGAAGAGACGATTCTGGTTGAACCGTGTCGACCTCTCGGTATATCGCCGAATCCGCTTTCCCCAAGCAGCGATTCTCTGCTTCAGATCATCTATGCGCTCCGTCAGTTTTTGCGTTATATCCGGCTGGGACAAACTGACATTTGTCCCAGCAAACGCCATCCTGACGGTGCGCACAATTCTTGGCCTGTTGTTGCCTGATCTGAAGCATATCAGTCTGCCGATGAGAGCTCTAGCCTTTGCGATACGTTCCTCAATTCTTCTTCTCCATGCTGGGATAGCGCTACTATGGCCAGTAGCGCGTCCAGCCGTGGAAACCTTGGCGCCTATGATACGGCAGACTGCCAGCGCGGCGCCAAAAAGAATTGAGTCCGTCTCGCAAAGGTCCCGGCTGGCTTCCAAATAGGTAACCAGCATTGGATTCAGAGCCCTCACGACAGCCCGATTCCGCTTGCTTAGGGCTATGCGGGGAAGTCGCGGTCGATTTTCGAGAGGCGTACTGCGCGTTTCCACAATCGCCTCTTCCAATATACTCCTCATATGCTCTAATTCCAGTTCCTGGGCGACTGTTCCATCATCGTTTGAATCAACCACAACTGGGGTATTCACGGCGGCATCCACGTTTGCGGGTTGCTCTACCATTTGTGGCGCCGCATCCTCAGCCGTAGCATTCTCATCCGACGAGGGAACAGCCTCACGTCGTAGCCGTTCGAGTTCGGCGACATCAAATATATTTGAGCGCAAGATATACCGAACTCGGTCTGCCAGGTTTTGCTCTGTGACGATTAAAGATGGCTCCAGCTCAGCAAAAAGACGATGCATCCTAGCCCGATACGCCAAACATCCAGTTTCTTCCCCTTTTGCCCTAAAGTACGCCCGCAGTGCGTTTGCATTCATTTCTTGTGACCAACGCATGCGACGTGCTCCACCAGCGGCGGGTGCCGCTTGCTGAGTCCGAGAAGACCCAGCCGACACCAAGCCTTCTGGTGGGGATGATGGATGCGGAGGGCTGGTAGATGACCGTGCAGCTCCTCGCGCTCGACTGGCGGCCCGCATGCTGCCGCGTCCAGCGCCAGCTCGAAACGCGCCCCGGCGACTCCCAGGCAGCGGCCCTTTGCGCACTATCTTTTTATCCATCATCTATTATTTGGGCGTCCATTAACGGGAGACGCCCAGGCCCGGCACCGTTTCGTGTGTAGCCATAAGCACAAACGGGCCTCTGCACCCTAAATTCTGCCGCGGCACGGCGCTCACACCTCTCGCAAGGCGCTGACTGACTGCGTTGACGTAGCAGTTTTGTCACTTAACTGTTACGTCAGCGGGCGATGGGTTCGTCAATTCCCTACGCCTTTTATATTATTATTATTATTATTATTATTTGGTTATGTCAGGAGTGGTTCACGACAGTATTCGAGTGCAAATTAAAATTTCGTTTATACATAACCATTAGGCTAATGTCACTATTTCTTTTAATTTCTTTCAATCAGCTTTTACATTTTTCTAAAATGTTAAAAAATATTTGTCTTTTTTGAGTGGATTAATCATTGTCAAAGCCGCAATTATTTAATATCATTGATATATTGCTCATCTAACTTAGTGGTTGTTTGTTGTGCAGTGTGTGGTCTTGCATTGTCGTGTAACAGCAGTGGCCAAGAGCGATTGACCAATCTCGGTTGTTTAGCAGCTAATTCTTCCTTCATGGTTTGCAGTTGCTGACAATAGATATCTGCCGTAGTCCTTTGGCCAGATTTTAGAAAGCTGTAATGAACGACACCGGCGCTAGCCCACCAAACACTTACAAGTCAATTTTCTAAGTCAATTTTCGTTTAGGGCAGGATTTTGCTGGGTCTCCAGGGTTTTGAGAATGATGAATATTTATTTATTTATTTATTCAGCCAAACTTATCACTAACATTACAGGATCTAATGACCTAATGCGCTAGTGAAAACAGTAAACATTTTAATTATTATAACATATTATAAATAATGCAGCCCTTGTGAATTCACTCATAGAACATACAAATATGTCAACTTCCTCATGGATATGGTTAAGTAGTCTGGTGGCGCGAGTGCGCGGCGCCTCCCGCAGCAAGTTGGTGCGAGCGCGTGGCACCGCCATCAGCCGCGGCCGTCGCCTTCGCCACACGTATTTCTCCGGCACATTCAAATATATACCCTCACAGAGTACATTCTTATGTATAGCAGACTCTAACACTTTCGCCGGTGTTGACAGGACAGCTACAGGTCTATATCCTTCTACTTTAGTTGATATACCTTTCTTGGGCACCGGCACGACTCGTGTTATTTTCCACCTCTCGGGAAACACCGCCGACGCAATGCAAAGGTTATATATGTGAACTAGAGGTTCAGCCAACACTTCCCTACAGTCCCTAAATACGTAGGGAGGTATGCCGTCTGGTCCTACGGCAGACTTAGGCTTTAACCGCTGTAGCGCACCTCTAACTTCTTCTAGTTTTAAGCGGTCTAGATGCACGCGCGCACCACCATTACCTCCACCAGCATTAATGATATACGCGTTCACGTCTAAGTCTGCCTGTTTCGTGCTATACACCGAGTGGAAATACCTCGCGAATTCTTCAACACTTTGTTGACCCGTTAACGCCTCCCCATCCTGTAATATTGACCGGGAGTGTCTACTACCCCTTTGAGATTTTATGTAGTTCCAAAATGCCTTTGTTTCTTTACGTAGGTGATTTTGGACGCGGTGCTGATAAAGTGTCTTCTCAATACCTATCATCTTTTTTACTCTCGCTCTACACTGCGAGTATTTACCGTAATCTTCCGCTAACCCACTCGATTTATACCTTTTGTGCAGAATCGCTTTTAATTTTATGTTGCGAATTATTTCAGGTGTGAACCAATTGGGGTAATGATACCTTGAGCTCACAACGTTTCGCTTTTTCTTTGGAACGCAGTCATCTATAACTGAATAAATAATGTCATAAAAATAATTTAAACTTATTTCTAAGTTAAGACCCCACATAGGACCCTAATTTACAGCTGCTATGGACGAATATAGTCTTAATAGATCTGCTTTTTTAAAATTCCATCGCTCCGGTACGTAATATTTGTTATTGTTCGGAAAAGTATCGCCAGCGTCGGCCAAGTCTGACATCAGTGAGCATGAGGGCGTTGGCGCGGGACACCGGACCGATACCGCGAGCGCGGGATGGTAAGGGTCGAGAGACACCAGTGGAGGCGCCGCACTCACGCACACACCATCCCATGTACTTAACACTAAATCTAAGCAACGACCAATACAGTACTCTATGCTATTGCTCTGAGTGAATCCACAATAAGCCTGGAAATATACATAGTAATCATTAACAGATGACGGACAGGTATGTAAATTAAAATCTCCTAATACTACCACAGCGCTATACATATCACAAAATTTTTCTATTATCCTATATAACATGATATAATCAGTCTCACTACTTTTTGGAGGTATATAAATAACTCAACATAAAAATAAAAATCTCTGATGTAAATAAACAGTTGCACTTGCGCATTCGAATACACAATTGTCTACGATGACGTCACCGGGAATCGCCACTGGTCGCAACTCGAACCGCGGTGTGGCCACTAAACATGCGCCGCCTTGCTTACGTCCGTCTGCTTGGTCACTTCTAATTATTGTATAACCAGATGGAATTATTTCAGCGTCCCTAATTGAATTATTACAACCAGTTTCGGTAATAGCGAACAAATCCGCTTCGTGTATAAATACACCTTCACAAAATTCATCCAGTTTAGTCCTAAGGCCTCTTACGTTTTGGTAGAATACCTCGATACATTTATTGGTTCCTTGACAAATTATTGGCTGGCTTGCGAAACCACACCCATTCACAAAACTCTATATTCACCGCCCAATTTTCTGGTTGACATAGTAATTGATATTTGCTCTCTGGTACACCTATTATGAAGGATGCATAATCTCTTTCAGATTTATGTTTAATTTTTTCCACATTGACAGCTATATCCTGCCCACAAATTTTTCTTATATGCGTTTCTACGCATTCTGTGGTAGTCTCCTTCTTGAGCCTCCAAAACAGTAAATATTTCTTCCGCTCTGTTCCTTGAATTTCTAGAGAGGTTGTGTTATCTCCTCTTTTGACTTCACTGTTCGGGTACCTAATTTTTCTCCTATGAATGACTGTCCATTCTTCACTTTCTTTTTTCTTCTCTGTCTCTTTCTTCTTAATTTCTTCTTCCGTATTGGGTTTCATACTACTTATTTTCTCGGCTTGTACCTCTGTGGTAGCAGATGTCGTGGCCTGTTTCGTGGCCACAAATTCCTTTGCATTTTGATTTTGTTTGACAGTACTTGCAAATGACTTTGGTAGTACTGGTGATAATTGAGTTGCTTCTCTATTATTCTTAATATTAGTTCCCGGTTGACGAGATTCCAGCCTTTCGTTTTTTTCTATTAGTATTTTAATTTTGTTTTCTAACGATTCTACTTTACTCGCCTTTTTTTGAACTACCTTCCATATATTTTGTACTTTAATTAACTCTGTTTCTGTACTAATAAATTTGTGCTCGAGTTGTTTATACGCCTTTATTTGCTCGTCTAATTTATTTTTCATTTCTAATCGAAATTTTCTCATCATCTCAAAAATGTTACATTCGTTTTCGACCATACATACATAATCGGTCTGCTTTGTTCGCCTGCGCTCAGTGTTAACGAAATTGGTTGGCGTAAATGTCCTATTCATTATTGTGTTCCCGCGAACAGGGGTATCAAAATTATTTCTCTTTGGGATATTCCGTATACATTCAGGGCATATCCAGTTTTCCTTATACTCCTGATAAGCCTCAAATGTTTTCTCTGTAATTGCCATACATTTTAAGTGAAATAACTTTTACATGTTTCTTGCGAACACTCCATATATGATATTTCAAATATTCCAGAATCACACCCATTACATTTAGTCCCCATTTGACACTTCCTAGCGAATAACTTTTTATTTGTTTTAAAATATATACTACATACACCGAAAACGTCCGTACGCTCACGCTCAACGCAGACGACTTTCAAATGAATATATATCAATTATTTTCAATGTGAACTTTGTATTAGGGATATTTTGCGACCTTTCAAAGGTTTTCGACCATGAATCAGGAAGATACAAAATTACAGTGTAAATAGTTTTGATCTTAAATTTCTTAAATCTCATATCATTCCTTAAATGTCATAAGAGGCGAAAGAGATAAATGAAACAGGACAAGGATACAATAATAAAACACTGCTGTTACCAACACACTGATCAGCTTGTAATTGTTAGCCTCCCTCTAAGTTGACCAAAAAAAGATACTGGTGGAGTTTTTTTTTGCCGTTTTCTCTCCGATCAATGGGAACAATTTTGAAGCGGTAGGAGATTTGTAGAAAAATGACATTTAGCAAACGAAATTTCCTATCACGTGACTAGTATATTTCAATTTATGTTAATGTCACAAGTATATTTCAAATCATGTGAGTAGCAATATTCAATTTTAAGTGATGATTTACCACGTCCCCGGTGGTGAAAGAAAATATCATGAGAAAACCTGGATGTCTGAGAACTCGATGAGAACTCACGTCCAAATGATCACCTATGTTAATTTATTTTCTGGATACGTGTTAATTCATTACCGCCACTTGTCATTGGCTGGGACTTGAACCCAGAATCCCACAACTAATATCGGTAATTAGTTACAATCCAAACGATCGTCAGTGTGTCGAATTCAAAATTAAAATACGATAAATACGAATATTCATTCCAAATGAATGTAAGTTGAAATGAAGCGAGCATGAAATCGTTTATTTCGAAAATATAAATAGGTTTCTTCAATATATGGCTTTAGTATCAGAAATAAGTTCGTTGTGAATTGACTAAAATGAAGATAATATTTCTTGTCTGTGCGTTGCTTCCCCTGATCCAAACGGCAGAGGTAATCTTAATATTTTATTAGTACATAATTCAAAATATTTATGAGTTATTATGGTTAATTGGACATCGCCGCCATTGTCGACACTGCCGTACACTTACCGAGTTGAAGCAGTGTAAGGATTAACTTATATTTTTATAAACGTTACCTCCACACTAGGATTTTCTCCTGTATCGTGGGGACAGT